GCGCCTGAGTGGCTCAGTTGGTTAAGCAACTGCCTTCGGCTCAGGTCATGATCCTGGAGTCCCGGGATCGAGTGCCACATCAGGCTCCCTGCTCAGCAGGGAGTCTGCTTCTCCCTCTGACCCTCCCCCCTCTCATGCTATCTCTATGTCATTCTCTCTCTCAAATAAATAAATAAAATCTTAAAAAAAAAGATTTTATTTATTTATTTGACGGGGGGGGGAGAGAGAGAGAGAGAGCACAAGCAGGGGGAGCGGCAGAGGGAGAGGAACAAGCAGGCTCCCTGCTGAGCAAGGAGCCAGATTCGGATTCGGGGCTCATCTCAGGACCCCGGGATCATGACCTAAGCAGAAGGCAGATGCTTAACCCACTGAGCTACCCAGATGCCCCCCAACAGTGTGCTCTAAATAAAGGATCCCCTAGGATTCTGCCCATGGCCGCTCCTCTTATTTATATCTTTTTCCTACGTAACCCCATCTAGCCCTAAGGCTTTATTCTATAGTAGTTACATGCCAGTCACTTCCGGATTTATCTGGCTTTGACTTTTCTTCCAAACCTGTACTTGTGTATCCAACTCTTTGACTTTTACTTTGGGGTGTCTAAGAGGCGTTTTGGTCTAGTCTGGCTCAAGCAGAACTCTTACTTACTGCTCTTCTCATCTGTCTTATGCCAAAAAACCCAAAACCAAAAAAATCTTCCTTTTGCAACTGCAACATGCAAATCTGGCCAGTGGTCCCCCTCTCAGCCTACAGCACTACAAACCCAGGAGTTCTTTTTTTCTTCTTTAAGATTTTATTTATTTAGAGAGAGAGAGAGAGTGAGCACGAGTGGGGGGAGGGGCAGACTCCCTGCTGAGTGTGGAACCTGATGCTTGGCTCCATGCAGGGCTCAATGTGGGACTCGTTCCCAGGACCCCAAGATCATGACCTGAGCTGAAGTCAGATGCTTCACCGACTGAGCCACTCAGGCGTCCCTGAACCCAGGAGTTCTTGATTCCCCCCTCACCTCCAGCACATCAGTCTCTCTCCTTTCAAGACATATACCAAATCTATCCCTTTCTCTCCAACACTATGACCCTCGTCCCTGTCACTGTTTATCTCACGTAGACCACTCTGGTGGCAATTTAATAGGGCCCTGCCACTCCTCTGCTTAAAATCCTTTGCTTCCTTATCATATGTAGAACCAAATCCAAATTTCTTGCCCTGGCAACAAGTCCCAAACCTTTTGTTCCCCTATAAAATAACAAGCTCATTCCAACTCTGCTTAAGCAAACCTCTCCCTAGGGGCCTAGAGTATGACCTTGTGCTAGACACAGACTTGGGCGAGTAGTTAATGTAAGTCAGTGGCTCCCAGCCCAGGCTACTCAGTGGAACCCTCTGTGGAGCTTGAAAAAAATGCTGATCCCCAGGCCTTATCTAAACGGAATCAGAATCTCTAAGAGGCAGCCAGGGCACTGATATTTGTGAAAGGCTCCAGATGATTCTATGTGTAGCTAAGAACCCTGATATAAGTGATATGCTTTCCTTCTCTCTGATCTTAACTGTGTACTTAGATTTTTTTTGTCACTGTTAATATAAATCACATCTAAATATATTCTCCTTTCAAGAGATGTTAAAAAAAAAAAAAAAAAAGACTGACAGGGTAGGATGGCCTGTTCCTCACAGGCAAGTGATAATAAAAAGGAAGGACTCTGATATAAAACAGATGAAAAATATTAGCTAGCATCATCCTGTACTTTTTGATATCAAGGAACACATTTAGATTTTAATAAGGAACTCTTTTATGGCCCATGTTCTATTCTTGATCCCACTCTGCATTAAAGTCCCAATCTCATGTTTACATCACATCACAGGATGCTACTGTTGACTCTGAGAATGAGTGAACCTGTTTTAACATGACTAGAACTCACTGAAATTTGGTGGAATTAGTGTTTCTAATCAAAACTCAAACTTTTCAGTGTGTAAGTTAGTTTATTCTTGGCAGCAATAGAACTTCCTGTGTCTAAGAGAAATGATTTAAAATGAGACTATAAAAGAGATCAAAAGACTTGGACATCAATTAGTTCACAAGCTACCTAAACACTGTTATGTGAGTATAAAGGAATCAAACATATGGATTACATTTCCATTAAAATAGAGTGGGGTTTTAAAATAAAGGAGCAGAAAGCTTTAGAAAACTCATTTGGATTTTCTCAGACCTTCACATTTGAAAAGTAGTTCAAGCTGCTTACAAACACTGAAAGCTGAAGGGTATGCTGCTACCTACAGAACTTAATGATGCTATAAAAGTTAAGAACTGTCATCAGTGGTGGCTGATTGGAGATCTGGGGAAGCCAAAAGAAGCTGTCACTCACCCACCTTGAAGAAACCTACGTTTAGGCTTTATGACAGCATCTCATTCTTGCAGCCCTTGGCTTCTTATAGTGATGGTGGTGGGCAAGGCACACCACATCGGGGCCCGCGACAAGCTAGAGGTATGGCCGTTTCAAATCTCCATGAGCCCATACACTAACCAGTCCAACAGGAGGACTAGGGGGCCAATAATTTTAGATGTAGGGCTATCTTTGTCACTCCAAGAGTTAAAAAAAAAAAAAGAGCAATTTTTCCAGTTAACTTTGTTATTCTTTTTTAAAATAACTACAAGGGGGCGCCTGGGTGGCTCAGTTGGTTAAGCGACTGCCTTCGGCTCAGGTCATGATCCTGGAGTCCCGGGATCGAGTCCCGCATCGGGCTACCTGCTCAGCGGGGAGTCTGCTTCTCCCTCTCCCGCTCCCCCCTCTTGTGTTCTCTCTCTCTCACTCTCTCTCTCAAATAAATAAATAAATAAATAAAAATCTTTAAAAAAAAAAAATAACTACAAGGGACAGCCTTGGAGAAAGGATTTGAGGTCCATGTGTCTCCATAAAGTGTTGTATCAGACAAAATGCGCACAGCTGGCCTTTGACTTCTGACAAACTGCATTAGAATCCTGCCTTGAACACTAACTTTGTCAGCTTGGGAATAAATAATAATCACCACCATTATTAGAATAATCAATATTGAGATAGCAGGTGAGAAAGACCCTTGCTGACCCCTATGGGGTTTAGGGTCTTGGAAAATTAAGAAGTATGCATTGGCAAAACTGCCACAATCTGACGAAAATCTAGCAGCTACTATAAAATTGGAGGCCCAAGAAAAGCTCCCAGTATCAGTCCTTCTTTAGCTTACCCCTTTTTAAATTTTGTAATAAAATGGACATATTTGAACACCATTCACATCTTGTCCTTCTATTGGTTTCATTACCTGTGTTGTGACATGTGTTAAGAAGTGCTTTTTCTGATTATATATAATCCCTTCCTTCCTAAATGTGGCCCCACAGCACAGAAATCTACAGGCTTCAGTATCGTTACACAGTTCTATTTTTTGTCTTTCTGTCTCATTGACAAGACAGGCTTTCATGAAGAGAAGTAAGAGTGAGTTAGAATGAGGATTTCCTTCCTTCGGGTGTAAAGGAGTAAAAGGGAGACTCAAACACCTTCAGAATGCTCTAGACAATAAATGTGAGTTTGTTATAAGGCACTCTGAACACTGTCCTATTGACTAAAGGTAATAAGAAGAAAATTTTAGGGAAATTAAAGAAATCCCAGCACACAACTTTTATCTGATAGAAAAAAAAACCCTAAAAAAAAAAAAGGCCACTATCATGTTTTGGCAGGGTGGATCCTCTCTGGGGGTACATTCAATAGTTGGTTATTCTGATATTGTGAGCAGAACCATATGAAGAACACTTTTACAAATGAAGAACACTTTCACCTAGAATTGATGCCAACATTAATAACTTAAGTATTTCAGTGTCTCATGGCCAAAGTTCCATATTTCAGTTACCTTAGCAAGAAAACCCAAGAAAATCAATTTGCATCTAAAAGCTCCTTCATGGAGTTGGCTTGGTTTTGTGGCAAGCATCCCAGCTTGCTTCGAGAAGCAGAAGCTGAAGTCTGCTTCACAGAGGATTGTTTGGTGCTAGTTGAATAACCCACTGGCATCCACTGTTAGCAGAGTGGTAAGCAGATTATGGGTAAGCAGATATTAATATTCTGATTAAACATTTTAAAACCTCATACCACTATTTAAAAAAATAATTGCACTACTCTGGAGAACTTACCATTCTGAAGCCACTTCTAGCCTTAATATCCCTATACTCATGATCTTAAAATCTCTACCACTGGTTTTTTTCCCAGAATCAAAACTTTTTCTCTCCACCACCTTAACTGAACTGCAATGCCTAAAGTTCGTGTGAATAGATGACTTTCTTGGACAGCCTTCATGGTTTTCAGTCTTTACATTTCACTCTCTTCCTTCCCAGATCTCTTTTTGAAAAAGACAGGGCTGCAGTCATCTTTGGCCTCAGCTTCTATAAAAACCCAGCACAGCCTTGGCAGCCCTCCTGGAAAGACTTGTTTCCTGAAGATCCATTGATTTAACAAACTTAACAAACTTAACAAACTTAAATAACAGAAGCTATGAAAGAGACATTTGCAGTGAGCATTCTGAAGTTATGAAGCAACAAACATTTACTAGACCACAAAAATTTCTCTGACACCATCCATCATGTAGATTATACAATTTAGCACGGTAACAGGGAAAGTTACTAATGGTTATTAATTGAGGTCTGCAATGTACTTACAGGTCTTTAAAAATCAACCGTCAAACCTACTAGTTACCACAGCTTATTTCTGGGTCCAGACCGAAAAGTCTGTTTCTTTCTTGGGTGCTTACTAAACGGGGCCACTCTGTTGGACAGGAAACATGGGATGAACATTTTATGCTGACAACATTGAGTGTTGATATCATCGGTGATCCCTATATCTGATTTGACCAGTTAGAGTGATAAGGACCCAAGGATCAAGGATATACAAACTCTGGGCACCTACTCCAGAATGCCCTCAGGCTGATGGAGAGAGGTGGCTGCAGGAGTGTAGGGGCAGAACATCCAGCAGACTAGTTTACAGTTCACTTTAAGGAAAAGGGGAGGAGCCCAGAGAAGGTTAAATCTCCCATCTCACCCTTGGCATCCCTTCCCTCTGTCCAGACTTCATACCTTCTTCTTCTCTAGAACTCTCTTCCATCCTTGTGGTCACTGACCAACTCAGGAGATATTACTGAGAGACAGGAGGCAACAAGGTCCAGAGACTGGGCTGGTGGTCAGCCCAGGGACCCTTCCAACCACACTTCCCCAACCCCTGAAACATCTTCTTAGCAGCCAGCCCTTGGGAAAAGTGATCCTAAACCCTCCACTGCTCTGCAACTGTGCGTAGGGCGGCTTTCCCTTATTGGGGCAGGTATGATGCAGTGACTAAGTCGACCTACAGCTCTGAATGAGGGCTCTGAGAAGGCTCAGACCACTCACTGCATCCGTGGCCCTACAAGGAGATGGTTCCATGGAGCAAGCACAGAAGTAAGGTTACAGCGTGGGGAGGCTGGGGGAGGTGCTAAGGAGGCTGGCGTTCTGACCCAAGCAAGGATTCTTAAGGACCCCCTAGCTCAGAATAATCACCTCTTCTCTTCCTCGAGTTCCTGGGCAATAGATTCCAAAAGGGAGGCCCCTCTTCTGAATCCCAAAGTCAGGACAGCCCGATTCACAGCAGGGCAGAGATTGTGGGCAGCCACCTACTTGCACCAACAGCTGTCCACCTGTCTCCCCAAATCCTGCCCCTCTACCCCCCAAACATCTGGTCTCCCAGAACTTTGGATATTCTCCCTCGCTTTGTCCCCCCCGCCTCCACCCCGACACGCAGTGGAGGTGCCCCGCGTGGAAAAGGCGACGTTGGAAGAGAGGTAGCCCTCGTGGAGGGCCCCCTGGGCTGGGCACTCATTCATTCCCTGGGTGGAAGGCGGCGGAGCAGGGGCCAGCCGGGCGGGGCGAACGCCCGAAGGCGGACTCGCCAGGTAAGCCCGGCGGCGGCTCTCGGCCCCGCGTGTAGCGCCCCGCTGGGCTGTCAGCGCGCGCGCCGGGTGGAGCCCACACCCACCGGGCGGCGCGGGCGGCGCGGGCGGCGCGGGCGGCGCGGGCGGCGCGGGCGGCGCGGGCGGCGCGGGCGCTCGGGCCGGGCCGGGAGCGGGTGAGCGCGGCCGGCTCGGCCCAACCCTTGACTCGGAAAAGCCCGTGCGGGGGAACCCACGCGGCGGCGGGCGGTGGGCCGGGCGGGCCACGCCGCCGGCGCCTCTTCCTGCCCCGCGGCCCCGGAGTCTCGCGGGCACCGACCTGCCAGCCGTCTCTCCCGGACGTTTTTCCACAGCAGATCCCAGGCTCTGGCCGTGGAATCCCGCAACTGCTCACTGATGGACCGCCTGAGCTGCGTCGGGAAGGGTTTCCGTTTGCTGGTCATTTTAGATCCGTCCTCATAACGACCAGCGGGCTCGCCACCGCCACTCCCGCGTGACCCGCAGCTCAGGCTCCCGGAGACTCGAGACGCCCGGCGCGGGACGCCCGCTGGGGTCCCGGGACCCGCCGCGGGCGCGACATGGGTCCGCCGCCGTCCCGCGCTTGGGGGGCGGGGAGGGGGCTGCTGGGCGTGCGCCGGCCGGGATGCGCCGCCCGCCGGGAGCCGAGCAAGGAACCTCTGCGCTCCGTCTACTCCTCTGCTCCTTTCCCACTCTCCCTCCCTCCTTCCCCTCGGCTCGGCGCTCCGCCGCTCCCCTCCCTCCCCCGCCCTCCCCTGCTCTCCGGGACTGTCTAGCGCCCCACTCCTTCCCCCAGCGAGCGTTTCCTCCCTGCCTCCCTCCCTCCCTCGACTAAACCTGACAGCCTGGCCCCGATGGCCCCCACTCACGGAGTTTCCACCCCCTTTTCAGTTTCACTCGGAGATCAGGGGCTGTACCATATTCCTATTTCTTGATAGTTTCCATTTTTCAGTTTCAGAATCGCCACCATCACAACCACCGTAACACAAATTTTAAACTATGCCACAGCTAGTGCCGTTATAACTCATCAGAGTTTTCCTGAATTCAAGTCACTTGAAATCATCTAATCAGTTTGGCTGACATTCTTCTGGAGTTGGATAATAGTCGTTCTTGGATTTTATGTTAATCCTTCCTGATTTCATCAATGAAATGATTACCTGGTCACAATCAACAAATGATTTAAAGAGTCAAAGTATTACGGCCACTGCACCTGAATTCAAGTCACTTGAAATCATCTAATCAGTTTGGCTGACATTCTTCTGGAGTTGGATACTAGTCATTCTTGGATTTTATGTTAATCCTTCCTGATTTCAACAATGAAATGATTACCTGGCCACAATCAACAATCAAATGATTTAAAGAGTCAAAGTATTACAGCCACTGCCCTGGAGGAAAATGACTTGAAAATCTTAAGGTCAAACCGCGAGGAACCCACATTAAACAGATTTACATACCGTGGAAAAGCATTAAAATCTGCATGCACTTTTAAAAAAGTAGGTATTATGAGGAAGTGAAATATGAAAATTGAAGAATTTTAAGGTATTTTTAGTCAATAACATGAGGCAGGCTTATAATCAGAAAATTAACTGATCCCTGCAGGGAAGAGGGAGGAAAGGCGCTGGCTCTTCTAGAAATACCTGAGAAGGTGGTGTCCACATCATTTTACTGGGCTCCAAAGCCTCACTCATAAGATGACAACAATGCTAGTTCAGGACTTAGGGTGTCCTGCTATTCTGTGTTTTGCTTCTAAAGTGCTTGGTGGACCTTAGAGAAAGTCATTTTGACAACATTTGATGTAATTCAACGATGTGATTAATGTCACACATTTCAAGTTTGGTGAGAGGAATTGAAATATTTCAAAATAGGGGCGCCTGGGTGGCTCAGTTGGTTAAGCGACTGTCTTCAGCTCAGGTCATGATCCTGGAGTCCTGGGATCGAGTCCTGCATCTGACTCACTGCTCAGCAGGGAGTCTGTTTCTCCCTCTGCTCCTCCCCCCTCTCATGCTCTCTCTGTCTCATTCTCTCTCTCAAATAAATAAATAAAATCTTAAAAAAAAGAGAAAGAAATATTTCAAAATATTTCAAAAGAGAATTTCTGAATTATTCAAACAGTAAAATTTCTGAAATCTCATTTCTTTTTAAATGTCTTTGAACCAGACTGCCAGAAAACCAGATTAGTCAGCTATTTTTTTAAAAAAGTTTCAGGTGCTCCACGTGAAGTTTGAAAATAAACTGTCGAATCCTTTATCTACAATACAAATTGCTACTGACTTAAGGAGTGGAAACTATCAGCTACCGGAAGTATTCCTGCTACAATTTTATACTTTTAGTAAATATTCACTCCACCATTTTCTACTGTTGGTAGAAAATGGGGGGAGAAATGACGGTAAAAACAGTCTTTAGTTATCTTATTTTGTTATCTTAAATAACGAAAAATGTACACTAATGAAACACACTTCAGAATGAGCTAAAAAGTTATGATTGAGCTCTTGTGCGCCATCCTGGTAAACCTTTGAAATTGTCAGTTATGAAGCAATAAGTCATGGATCAGAAATGGACTGGAAACTATGGCAGCCAGTTATAGACTAATCCAGATAGCTTTCTGGAGCCATGCCAAGTACCCTTTTGATTACATCCTCTGTTTTGAACAGCATGTAGTTGGCAACGAAATTCTCTGCAAGGAGAAAGATGTCTTATCTTTAAGTGACTGCATACAGTATAACAACAAAATGTTCCACAATTACATGCCCAGGGAAGCTGTGTGTTTTAACTTTTTAAAAGGACCTAATTGAATCAAACTAGGCAGTAGTTGTAACAATGTTTGCACTGGAATAGAACAATCCAAGGAATAGTCCAACTATTTCACTGATCATTTAGCTCCAAAGATCCTGGAACCCTACGACTTTTCTATTTTAATACACATTTTACATTCAGATGGCGTGGATTAGGGGTTTTCTTTCAGTGACGAATTTGAAGAAAAATTCTTGCAGTGCAAATTTGTTTAGTTCTGGTTGGGGAAGAGTCCCTGAATTCAGGATGGTCCAAGAGAAGCCAGATGAAAGACTCAAGTGATCCTCCCGGAACAGGTGCTGCCCCAGCAGCTTCTGCCACACAGCTCAGCCCAGCTCCCCGCCTGGCCCGGCTGCCAGCCTGGCTGTAGGAAATCTCACAGCTGTGCATAGGCCGCTGCCACAAACGCAAGGCTTCCAAACTCACAGGAACCTCAGGGCTACTGGGAGTCTTGTATACAGGCCCTTAGCATCCACAAGCCCTATCTCAAAGTGGAACCTTCAGGAAAACTCCTTTAAAGACTACCGCTCCCCCCCCCCGCCCCCACCCCCGCCCCGGGGTCTTCACCTTGACCAGATGACAATAAGGTCTACTTCAGAGAAAGGAAATCCCCACACCTGCTATCTAAGAAAGGCACCTCTTCCTACTAAGACCTAGTCCTCCACCTGTGCTCTGTTTACTCTCCTTCCTTGTCCCTATAAGGACTTTGCTACATCAGTTATTGCCTCTCTATCCCTTACCCTCAACCTTCCTCTAAAAAGGCTCACCCTTCTTTAAACCAAACCAAACCCCCCATAGCAAGGTGCGCTGCCTCTATCCCGTATCTCTTGGAAAAAGAAATCTTCCCTTATCAACCCTGCCATCTGGCCTCCCTCACTACTTCACTGAAACCTGTCTTGCCAAGGTCACCACTAATTGTCTGGTTGCTAAATCTAATGGATGTTTTGCGTTGTTGTTGTCCTTTCTAGGTCATGTGGACAATGGGACACTGCTGACCATCCGTTTCCTCGTGACGCTGACTTGTCTCATGGCTGTCAGGCCACATGGCTGAGGTGTTTGTCCTCAGAGCTTCTCTCCCACCCCCTCAATGTTGGCATTCCCCAGGTTTCAGTTTTCAGCCCCCCTCCCCCCTTTTCCTCATGCTTTCCTGTCCTTGGGTGATTGTATTCCTTCCCATAGTTTCATCCTTTACCTCTCAAGGCCCAACTTGGTACACACAAAAATACTTGTGTTTAAGAGTGTGGCTGGACGCAGAGGATCATAGGGGAAGGGAGGGAACACTGAAGGGGAAGAAATCAGAGAGGGAGACAAACCATGAGAGACTCTAGGAAACAAACCGAGGGTTGTGGAAAAGGAGGTGGGTGGGGGGATGGGGTAACTGGGTGATGGGCATTAAGAGGAGTGATGAGCACTGGGTGCTATATATAACTGGTGAATTACTGAACTCTACGTCTGAAACTAATGATGTAATATATGTTGGTTAATTGAATTTAAACCATTTTTTTAAAGATTTTTATTTATTTGTCAGAGAGAGAGAGAGCACAAGCAGGGGGAGCGGCAGGCAGAGGGAGAAGCAGGCTTCCCGCAGAGCAGGGAGCCCCATGTGGGGCTTCCAGGACCCCGGGATCATGACCTGCGCCTAAGGCAGATGTTTAACCGACTGAGCCACCCAGGCACCCCTTGGCTAATTGGATTTAAATTTTAAAAAAAGAAAAGAGTGTGGCTGGAGGCAGAGTTGTGTTTGACTCTGGCAAGTTTCTGCCCTTCAACACCACCTACCTATGAGATTATACTGTGGATTTGATGAAATAATCCACTTGGCACAAAGAAAGGATTCAGTCAGTGAATGCTACCTCACTGCTGTCCTATCCCTAATCTTTCCTGAGCCCCTCCAAGGGGCCTTTCCTGACACCCAGTCTAAATAACTGCATTACTTCCTCTCGTGGTATCCACGAGTGCTATAATTTTCTTTATAGCATGTATCACTTTGGACATTTTCTTGTTTGTTTGTGGTCTGTCTCCCAGGCAAACATGGGGCATTATGAGAGCAGAGGCCTTGTCTGCCTGACTCACTAGAGCGTATTCGGCACCTAGAACAGTCCTTGACAGAAGTGTTCAATAAAAACTTGTAGAATAAATGATTATACTCAAGCACTGTGTATCATTTACCTTACTAATGGATATCTCTAGAATTT